GCCGGGGACCAACCGCAACCTTGGCCAGAATCAAATCCAGGACTTTTTGGTCCACAGGCCGACGCTCTGACCACTGAGTGAAACCGGCCAGGGCCAAAAGGATGTTTTTTTTTTAGATGCAGAAAGACAACAGACAGGCTCATTTAAGGTAAAGATCAACCTTTATCAAGGAGGCTGCAGGCCTAGGAGTGACTACCTACTTGCTTGTACTTAGGAATTTTTATGTTCAGCCCCCCTTTTGGTCTCTGAGTTTGTAAATCCTGCCATGCAGGCCTCCCAGAGCTTATCAGGTTTAATATGTGGCTACTTTTTTGTCCACAATGTCATGAAGATTAAACAAGTTAGCATGCATGGGGCAGCAGACCTACAAAGGCGCTCAGTAGATGTATCATTGTTAGCAAGGCTTTATTGCAGCCGTGCAAACAACGGAGTGCAGCCTGAACTGGTGGCTGGGGATGAATAGGACACAGACACAAGGCAGGTGGTGACTCTATTGTGTGATAAGCACTAGCCCTGTTGTTCTGAGAGCTTGGAGAAGGAACCTTAACTCTGCTAGTGGCTGGGTGGGGAAGTGGACTAGGAAAGGCCTCCCAGAAGAGGGCATCCAGGGATCTTGAGGGTGCACAGCACACGACTGGAGAGGGCCCAGCTGGTGTGGCTCAGTGACTGACCGTCGACCCATGTACTGAGAAGTCACTGGTTCGATTCCCAGTCAGGGCACGTGCCCAGGTTGTGGGCCAAATCTCAGTGGGGGGCATGCAGAAGGCGGCCAATTGATGTTCTCTCTTATTGGTGTTTCTCTCTCCCCCCGCCCACCCTAAAATCAATAAAGAAAAAAAAAAAAAAAGATTCGAGAGGCTCTGGGTACTATATGAGCAAACGTAAGGAGGGAGGATGTGAACCCAGGTCGGACCACCTCTTTCTGGCACACCAGATGGCCCCACAAACAGCCTGGGCCTGGTGATCTTGGCCTCTGGAGCCTCAACTCACCTGCAAAGCTGCCCTTCACGAGCCAGATGCTGGCGGGTGTGGGGGCGGCAGCTCTGTTTATGCTTCATGGGAAAGAGGCATGGCTGGTCCGATGGCACCCCTAGAGGCTGAAAATGGAAGTTAGTTGAGGGCCTCTAAGCTTGCCTGGCGTAGTGGCTTCCTCTCAAGTCACCAAGTGTGAAGCTGCCACCCAGCATGTTCATTAAGCTCTTGTTCTGTCTGGCTAGATGGATCCAGGTTCACATCTTACCTCCTTCTCTTTGTGTGATGTGATAAGTTTCTCCCTGCTGTGAGCCTCACTCTCCTCACCTATAAACTGGGGATGATGCTTCCTGCCTCCTCTAGGGCCTGGCACACAGTAGGTGGTCAGTGGAATTGGCTGCTGTCACATCCCACCCAGAGGCAAGGATATCTGAACAGCTTTCTACGACTCTGGGCCCTCCCCCCACCCCAGGAACCCAGCACCTCCCTCTGACCCACTCTGGTCCTCCCTGGAAGGTCCCACTTGCCCTCTCTGTCCCTGGGATGCATGGCAGGGTCACTACTGACAGCAAACCTGAGTGCTGGCTCCACCTCTGCATTGGACACTGAGCCTTTGGCCAAGGCATTTCCCCTCGTGAGCCTCAGTTTCCTGGCCTGAAAAATGGGGCTATGATTCCTGTCTCCTTTGGGGTGCCAGATAAGGGGCTATGCAAACTGTGAAGTTCTGTGCCATGGTGTGCTGTTAAAGGCAGCTGTGACTGTCCCATAGTGGTGTCCCCTCTGGTCTGGGCTCTTATAAGGTGAGCTGGACTGGGGTGGAGATTTGGGGGGCAGGGAATGCTTTCCAACTGCCCTCAAAATACCCATGTATGCTCCTCCTCTTCTCCTTGCCTCCCTTGGATGACTGGGAGGCTTTCCAGTGAGGAGATGGGCCAGGAAGCACAGGCCCGCCTCCATTCCTCTGGGTAGGTGAGCCCAGGTATTTCCACACACCTCATTTTGAGCAAGAGTTTTGATCTGTGGCCTCTTGCCAAGATTTTGCCATTCTTTCCTGACAAACAACAGATTCTGTTTCATAACCTGCATTATAAAATGGTTTTATTAACAACTACATGTACACAGTTGATTACGAATAGCAAACACCAGTCAGCTACTCCCAGTGTCACCTAACAGCCCTCTTGGCTTTCCTCCAGCCTCAACCCCCTGCAGCCTCCCTCATCCCATTCCTCAGTCTGCGGGGCTCTACTACACCTGGCCACCCCCACACATGCTTCAGCTCTCCCTTCAGGGTTCCCTCCTCTGGGCAAAGCACATCTGAACCCCCATCAAGTTTCTATGCTGGATGCTCCCCCAGAACTTGGCTCCTGCCCCTCCAATCATACACGGTGATGACATGCTCACTCGATAATGGACCATCAGAGTCACTTCTGCCTTTTAATACAGGCAACCCTCCTGCCAGTGGAGTCGGTGAGCCCAGTGCCCTGATGTCCCCACAGCCCGCAGTGCCTGGCGCTGCACAGGCGCTCAATGTTAATGAATAAATGGTTGAACAAAGAAACAAACTTTGGGCCAGCCAGCTCCTCTCTGAGCAACTCCCTTTATTTTATTTTTTAAAGTGACAGTGTTAAGAGTCAAAGATGGAATTACTGAAGATGTGCCCCCTGTGCAGCTCCCGAAATGCCCCTGCCCACCTTGCCAGGTGGGAGATTCTGCTCTCGCCTCTGCAGGTGACTGCTGCCCTCGCTGCTTAACACGAGGTGTGTTCTGCCCTCTCTGGGATTCAGAGTCGCTGAAGCCCGCACCTGACCCTCTTGTTATAGTGTATTTGTGTAAATTCTCTATGATCGGAGCTTCAGGAGACCTTGCTACCTGCGAGGAAACCAGATGAGGCTGTGCTGATGGCGGGAAGTCAGTTGTGGGTGGTTAGAAAGGCAAGGGTCAGCGTTCAAGTCCATTCACCCCTTGTTTTTAGTCTGAAGGTCGTGAAGGTGGAAACCAGGCATTGTGAGCCTCTGTCATATTAACAGGTGGGCCCAGCAAAACCTGTCAGTGCGCCCCCCCACAGCTGGCCAAGGGCACAGGGAATTGGCTCTGGGATGCCCAAGGGCCTCAGGGTTCTCCAGATATGGCTGCATCTGGGGGCAGGGGGGCGGCTGCAGAGGGTGGCCACACAGTGCCACAGGGGTGGAGGGAAATCCTGCCATGTCTGGGATGCGGGAGCAGCCCTGGAACACGGGATGTCCTGTGATTTTTGCCTGGCAGCCAGCCCCAGGCCATCTCCTTGATGCTAGCACAGCAGGTTTTTTTTTGCCAAACTACTTAAACACTGTTAGACGAGGAGTGCCTCACAGCACTGGCCCCGGCATTTCCTTTCATTTAGTTAGTTTGCTTTTTATAGCATCAGAGCCCCAGATTGTGCTAAACCACGAATGCTGCTGCTGCCACAGGTGGAGGGCCTGGGGCCCGAAAGACCTCACATACTTCACCTGAAGACCCCCAACTTCCCAAGCCTTATCATTTCCTTGCTAAAAATAGGCCAAGGGAAATCTAGAAAACTTCTAAGAATTGGAGAAAATGAAATCATAGACTCTGAGGGGGGCCGAGGGGGAAGGGGCTGGAACCCGGCTTCCTGGTTGCAAAGCACCTGGACAGTGGTATCTACTGAGGCTTCCAGTCTCCGAGAAGGGTCTTGGCAGCCAGGATGCTAATCTTTGCAGGGAGAATCCCTTTTATAGGGATACTGGACCACTCAGTCCTGGGGACATCACCCGGGTGGACAGTACTCCTTTGCCCTGTGGGACAGCAGTACACAAGGACAAACAAGAAGCTCATGGGCAGAGATCCAGAGCCGAGGGCCAAGCCACCCCAGAGTCAGGTCTTCAGAAATACTGGTGGCCACTGGCCTGGCCCAGCCAGAGGGCAGGGGGCAGGGTAGCACAGCCTGGTACCCAGACCCCTTTCAATGGCTCCATTGCCACCTGGAGTCAACCCACAGAGTCACACCCAGCTTGGTGGCTTCCTCAGTTTATTCCACAGCAAGCTCTGCTCTATTGTGTGCAGCCCACCCAGCAGAGCAGATGGTGGTCCTGACTGTGCACTGTGGGCACCAGGAGAGCCAGCTTTTGAGAAATAAAAGCCATCACTGGCCATCTGCTGGGTTGCATGGTAGGGTCAGGTGTTGGGCAGCCAACTGTCAGCTGTCCCCTTGGGAGGGACACAAAAATGGAGGAAAAGCTAGGCGGTTCTCCAAGAAGTAAGTCAGAGCCTAAGATGAGTGCTATGGGATGGCAGCTCCCCTCTCTTATCCCAGCATGGTCCACCTTACTCCAGCTCTGCTTTGGTTCTGGCCCCCACTCTCAGCCGGAAAGAACCCAAGCTGAATGTCAGCTGGATCACAGCTGGTGAGGAGGGAGAGGGCGTCATTGGGAATCCCCTGGAAACTCAATCTTCACCCACTCAGCTCTGGGTAAGACTGAGCATGGTCTTTTCTCCTGGTGATTATCCCTGCTGGGTCTCACTCCAGAGGTGGTAGAACAACCTTGGAGGGGCCTCGATGCTCTGCCAGAACTGATACCCTGAGCCCTGCCCTGTCCCTCCACCTAGGAGCCTTTAGCTGGCCCAGCCCATCCCTGCTGAGCCTCCCTGCTCTTAGGGCCTGAAGCTGTGCTCCCTGCAAGACCTAGGGCTCAAGCCCCCAAGTCTGGATGCCGGGTGTGAGTGAGTCCTGGGACAGGTGGACCTTATCAGGAGGGTCTCAGGGCAGCTTCTGCAGGCAGGATCCTTCCTCAGTGGATGCTGGTCCATCCTTGAGGTTCTCATTCTCCTTTGAGAACAGGGGATAAGATGCTTGTCTGAGTCCTCAGGTGGCCTACGCACTACATATCACTTTCCTGCTTGGCCATTGTGACAGGTGGGCCCCCGAGGAGCTGAGATGGTGATGTGGGGTGAGTACTCTCTGCGGTCATCTCCAGCACCACCCTGCCTGGGAGGCCAGGGGACAGGGAGTAGGATGCTAAGGGGGCTGGAGAGCACAGGTGCAGAGGCAGCCAGCCTCTTCACTGTGCTGGGGATGGTCTTGTTGCCTCAAGACTCTGAATTTTCTCCTGGGAGGCTTTGTCAGGGAGCAGCACCTCCACAGTGTAGCTGACCTTCTTGGTATGCATCAGGCTGTAGGTGTTGTCGAAACACAGGACGTCTGCAAGGACAGAGAAGTAATCAGGCAACTCAAGCCTGACCTAACTGCATACCTGATGCCCTTGGGAACTGGCCACCCAGGACTATGGGTGGGGCTGGAGGGTCAGCCACTGCCCAGCCCCATTGCTCATGGCCATCTCTTTGGATGATGCCTGTGCTCATTAAAGAATTAATAATAGCCACCAGCATGTATCAGCCTTTTCTAGGTGCAAGGCATTACATCAGTATTCATAGCCCCATGGAAGACCATCATCTGCATTGTGCGAATGAGGAAACTGAGGCTTAGAGAAGTTGATACACCTTTCTGATGATTACAGAGCAAGGAAGGGGAGGGACCGAGATTCCCTTATCCTGATGCTCCAACCCAGAGAGAAGCCCTGCTTTTCCCAGAAAAGAGGACTGAACCCCATAGGCCACTTTTTCATCATGCCTTTCATAGAGGGCATGTCCTTCAATGCCAAAGGCCAGCATGGACTCTGGGACATGATGAGTTATCAGTTTCTGTTTCCACTCTCCTAATTCTTCCTTTGCACAAAGATAAACTAGGTATGTATTAATGAAAGCATTAGCAAAAAATTCTTCTCCTTCTCCAGAGGAAAACAAGCTTGGGTCCCCCTTCTCCCAGCTTTGATCCCGGGAGAGGTGGGAAGCCTGTGGTGTCCCTGGGCAGCACTGTTTTGGATAAAACCGACCAAACTGTAACTGGCCTGGGCATCCTGGGAAGGAAAGATACACACCTGGAAGAACCATCTCTTCAGGATGCCCAGAGTGGGGTAGTCCATGCACCTGGGCAGTTTGGGACCCCCTAAAGCTAATCTCATGCTTTTTATTTACCTGTCCCTTAGCCTGTCCAGACCAGTGTGGAGGCTACTCAGGAGCTGGCCCCAGGCTGTGAATCCCACTCTCTTCAATCTATCCTTGTACCCATACCTATGGCACTCAGATCCAACACCCTGGTGCCCATGAAGTCTAGGAGCTTGCACAGACCTCCGCACCCTCTCTGAAAGCTGCAAATAGGAGGCAAAGAGAGAAGCCAGACTGGCCACACACGTCAGCTCATCTCTTTGCTTGAAGGAAGAAAACAACTCTTATGAACGCTACAGCTCTTACAGATGCCGGCCTCGAGGCAAGTGAGGCTCCCGTCCTCGGGCACCAGGTGGGCATTGTAGCGCTCTCTGGGCAGCACCTCTGTCATCTCCCCTATCCGCTGTCGTTCTCCCTTCTTGGTCTTCAGGAAAACTCCAAAACCGATGTCTGCCCCATCTGATGCAAACTGCCACCTGCAAGGGACAGGGCCCCACTGATGACCACTGGCCCGGGCCCTAGGTTCCTCCCAGCTGTGCCCAGGTGTAAGTGGCCACCATCCCTACCTGAGCACACAGCCCGGGAACAGAATCTCAAACTCCACCTGTAGGGAGGAGCTGCGGCCCACGGTCGCCGTGTGCTCATACTGCACCTTCACCTGGTTGTGCAGGTAGTAGCTCTTGGGCACCTTGCCTCCGTAGTTGATCTGTGGGTGAGGGTGGGTGAGTGGAACCACAACCATCACCCCTTCCTCCCCATCCTCTGGGCACCCCATACCTTGGACAAGCACTTGGGGTTGCCATCAGGGTCAGTCATGGTCCCCCCAAACTCCATGGGCAGCTGGTCGGGGCTGATGAACTTTAGCATCTCCTGCTTCCAGTTGGCTGTGGGAGCAAGAGGAGGGATCTTTGGGGGCTCAGAGAGGCTTGACAGAAGGCAGAGTGGGCCAAGCCTTGGGAGGGGACCTGATGTGTTCTTGGCTTGCTTCCCGGGGTGCCTACTCATGAGAGCACCCGAGAGCTGTATGTGGCCACCCAAGTTGAGATGTAGGGTCCAAAGCCTTGTCTGAGTGTGCAAAGGCCAGTGGAGTCAGGCCAAGATCAATGCCTGGGTAAAGAGGATGAGCCCCACCCGGCCAGTGTGGCTCAGTGGATTGAGCATCCTCCCATGGACTGAGAAGTCCCGGTTCGATTCCCAGTCAGGGCACATGCCTGAGTTTCGAGATTGATCCCCAATGGGGGGTACACAGGAGGCAGCTGATCGATGTAGCTCTCTCACATTGATGTTTCTCTCTCTCTCTCCCTTCCCGTCTCTCTAGAAAAATCAATAAAAACATATTTTTAAAAAAAGAGGATGAGCCAGGGAGAAATGAAGCCTTTAGCACTGACCTCTGATTCCTAGGCAGATGGGAAGGTGGGCACAACCAGGGAGCCACGTCACTCACCTCCCAGAATCACTATTTTCTTTCGAGTCTCCTCACTCATGAACGGCTTGACCAAGTTGAAGGCCACAGGAAATAGCTTAGGGGCTGAAACACATGAAATTACCTTGGGAAACTGAACCAGCGAGGACTTGCATATATAAAGTCACACTCAAGAGCATGAGCCAGACAGGAATTAGACAGATCTAGATTCTGACTCTTCCTGCTGTGTTACCTTCAGCTGGTTACTCAGCCTCTCTGAGTCTTAGTGCTATTAACTGTAACTATAAAATGGAGATTCAACTTAAGTGTATGCATAATACTTGACACAGTGCTTGGCTCTCAATAAGTAGTTGCCTTCCCTGTTCAGCTGTAGGGCTTCAGTAGTGTTGATTCCCCCCTGGTGCATCTTCCTTTTCGCTCTCAAGGTTTTCCCAGGTTGCCTTGGAATCCTCTTGGGTGCAGTTAGGTGGGGCATCTGCCTTAGACCTCATGTCCCACCTGAATCACTTCACACTTACTGGGACCTTTCTGGGGGCAAGGCTCTGTGCTACGCCTTCTCCACAGACTGTCTCATGTAACTTCATAGCTATCTCATGGGGATGGTGCCATTGCATCCCTATTTTACAGAATGGGAAACCTGAGGCTCATGAAGTTCAACAGACTTGTTCAAAGTCATAGAGCTAGCTAGATTTGAAGCCAGATCAGCTAACCCAGAGCACATATGACAACCCCCTCACTATATATATGGCTGTCACAGACAGGGACCATTCCTGCCCCAAGTGTGTCCACCAACCTGTATAGTCCATAGACCATCTGTTACCAGTCCACACTCAGATAAGTAAAGAAAATAACAGCAAAAATGTAGAAACTTATAACTTATTTGACATTGCTTTTGTATATTCCAAAAGTATCAGTCTGTGAAAGACTGAACTAAAAACAAAACAACACACACACACACACACACACACACACACTACCCAACCACCCAGCTGGTGTGGCTCAGCAGTTGAGCATCAACCCATGCACCAAGAAATCGCTAGTTTGATTCCTGGTCAGGGCATATGCCCAGGTTGTGGGCCTGATCCCCAGTGGGGGGCATGCAGGAGGTGGCCAACTGATGTTCTCTCTCATAGATGTTTCTATCTCTCTCTCTCTCTCCCTTCCTCTCTCTCTAAAATCAATAAAGAAACAAACAAACTAAAAAACACACCAACCAATTAATAAAAAACCCATTCTTCACAAAGGATGATTTGAGAAGCCCTGAACTGGGTGGCTTACCCACTGCCCATCCCCCACTTCCTACTCCTCCCCCACTGCCCAATTAATCCTCACCTCGAATAATAATTAAATTCTTCAGTGTCTCAGGATAATTTGCTTCCATGATGGCAAAAAACTGTGAAGTCAAGAAGAGTCTGGTTGAGGCTACACTGAAACATTCCTGCCTGGATTTGGTGGCCTCTGAGGCTGCTGAGACAAGAGTCCCCACCCCCTACTCTTTGGCCCACACCGTCTTCCTATGAGGGTGTACTCTCCTCTTCTGTGATACCTTTGCTCCTCTTTCTCCTTGCAGGAGGTACCCGAGGCCAGCGCCACTGGCTTCTCTGTGGGACTCCTGGGTGGCATTCCCTTCCTCCATGGACTGAAGCTAGTGTGGGCAGTGGCTCCCTATTGGCCTTGAGCCAGCTGCTTACCTTACCTGCTGGGCGACCTCCACTGCTGGCTTCCACAGGTGTTTCAGGCTCAGTCCCTCCATGTCAAACACCATTAACATTGTTTCAATCTTCCTGCCCAGCTGCATGGGATGGAACAGATATAGAGGTCAGACAACAGTTCCAGCTGGGAGATACTGACCTGAGAGACCTGGGCACAGCTCCTACCTTCCTGCCACCCCACCCTTGGCTGCCCACAGTGTTTTCCAAGCAGACGAACTTAGCTAGGGTCTGAGGAGATGCTGCATTTAAGCCCTGGCACAGTGGCCCTTATCACACTATTTGTTCAACACTATTGCCTGGAGTTAGTTAACTGTGGAATTAAAATCCTCATTCCTTATTCATTGGAAATCTCTAGATATAATAGTATATACTACGTTGGCCAGTGTCTGCAGTCCCACAGCTATGTCCAAGCCAGAGCTACACTGTTGGCAGGCTGTGTGGCCTTGGGTGGGTTTTTTTTTTTTTTTATCCTCACCCGAGGACATTTTTCCATTTTTTGCTCAGGTAGAGTGGGAGGGAGAGAGAGGAACAGAGAGAGAGAAACATCGACGTGAAAGGAACACATCAAGTGGCTGCCACCCGCACGACCGAACAGGGCCGGGGACAAACTGCAACCGAGGTACGTGCCCTTAGCGGGAACCGAACCCGGGTCTCTCTGGACCGCAGGCCGACGCGCTAACCGCTGAGCCAAACCGGCCAGGGCCTCGGGTGGGTTTTTAACTACTTTTCTTTCTCTATAAAATGAGAGTAAGTCCAGGTTCTGATGAAGTTGCTGTGAGTACCTAATGAGCCTGGCACATGGCTGGTCCCTGTTAAATATAAACAGATATGGTTAGTAGTATAGTCAGCACCATAATTATTGGCTCCAACTGAGACATCCATGCCTATTGTTTTGACTCTTTAACATCCGCCATCTTGCTTGAGGAGCATACACCTATTCAAACCAGGCACTAAATATAGTGCTTTGCAGTTTCTCATGCTTGCCACAGATCTGTGGAGGTCTTCTGTGTCCAGCACTGTGCCAGCTGCTGGGGACACAGGCCCTGTCCATGTCACCTGAAGTCAGCCATTCGCCAAATCATCCCATAGGGACTTAACAGCTCCCTCTGGGGGTCTTCTTCTTAGGCTCATTAGACACAGACGCAACAGATTCACTCTGAAGGCTACAGGCCAGGAAACAGTCTGGGGCAAGAAGATCTGCAAAGGTGGGTCCTTCTTGGCTTAGAAGTCCCATGTCCCACAGGACTCAGTATTTTTTGAAGCAACTCCACAGTAGCTTCTAGGGACCCACAACAGATGTGTCCAGTTTCCAGGGTCACTGCTCTCAGGGACATCCCAAGCCATGGATCCCCCATCTGGTGATTATAGTTATGCAACTTACCAGGGTTCCTGGGGAGCAGAAGAAGACCATTCACTGCACCCAAGGTCAGCATCTCACTTAAGGTCAGAGGAAAGGGGAAAGGGCTTTGGTGACCCTTGGCTCATGCTAGCACAGAGTGCCATGCGCATGTTAGACGCTTGCAGATGAGTGACTGCAGAAGCTGTTTCACCAGAGTCTGGAGTGCTGAGGGCTGGGGGAGAAGCAGGGGTATCTCCCCTTCATGGTCTTGGTGCCACCTTTTAGACAGACTGGACCTAATATGATACCTTTCCCACACTCTACCCCCCCTAACACTCCCCAGTCCCTGGCCCTGGTCACTCACCTTCTGACTCTGCAGCTCACACTCCTGCAAAAGCAGCTCATGCATCTTAATGCGTTTCCGGATCATCTCCTGCTTGGAGGTTGATAGGAGGAGACCCTTGGGGTCAAGGTTCCCAATGATCTCAAACCACACGGGGCAGCCTTCATAGTCGTAGCCACATATACCGCCTGCGTCATACAGCTGGACCACCTGTGGTGAGGTCCTGACTCAAACCAGCCCACCAGGCCATGTCTCTGCTCCATCAGGTGGCTGGACATGGTGTACGGGGAGTGAGGTGAGGGTGGCCAGATGGCCTGGGGGACGCTGTGTGGAGCTCACCTCTGAAGGCTGCCATGTTAAGATGTTGTCCAGGTCCTGTTGCTTCCGGAATTTCATGTGCTGTGGAGACACAGCAGGACCTGAAGACAGCCCGCTTCAAAGGTCCCTCTGCCCACAGCCACCAAGGTCCTGCCAAAGCATTCCCAGGCTCTACCCACTTTGAACTGGAGATGGGGACACCAGAAGGACTGTGGGGGACCTGGGTCTGATGCAGAAAGGGATCCAAGGAGGAAGGAAGAAGAAACACGACAATGGGACAGGGCAAGTGTCCCCACCCTTTGTCACTGATCCCTGTGGTACAGCGTGCAGGAGGCAGCAAGCTCATGAGAATGGGGCCTCACCTTCCGGAGCATGTCCTCGGATTTCTTCAGGTCAAAGTTCTGGGCTGCAAGAAGAGTCTAGGTAAGAGGAGGCTTGAGGCCGAATCTAGAATAAGCTATTCTCTGAAAACTCATGAGGAAATTGTGGGGTGCCCCCTGACTTTTCCTGACACCCCAAGGATACACTGGGGGTCTGGAAAGTTTGTTAAAATGCAAGGATCTTTAATTCTCTAGAAGACTTTGGAGGGCTCTTAATTTTAGTTTGCAGGCCTTTTTAAACTCCTCATTCTAAAGAATGATCTAGCCGTGGCTGGGTAGCTCAGTTGGTTAGTGTCATCCTGATATGCCAAGGTTTCGGGTTCAATTCCGCAGTTAGGACACATATAAGAAGGAAACAATGAATGCATAAATACAGTAAGTAGAAAAAAAGATCAATATTTCTCTTGCTCTTTCTTCCTTCCTCTCTCTAAAATCAATCAATAAATTTTTAAAAATTTTAATAAATAAAGGCTAATCTAGCCTGTGATATTTGATGAATCCCTGGGAGCAGAAATCCCCTTGGTGTTAGGGGTAGTGAGGAGCATGGACTTTGGAGTCAGGCCGACCTGGGCTTGAAGTTTAGTTTTGTCCTTTTATTTGCTGTGCAACCTTAAGCAAGTCACTTAACTTCTCTGAGCCTTAGGTTTTTACTCTATTAAATGGGAATAATATATTTTTCAGAGTTATTCAAAGGATGACGTGAGACAAAGTGCTTGGCACATGACCTGGTTCATAGTTAATTCTCAATAAATGGTAGATATTGTTGTGGTTACTTATTTTGAAGACATAAATACACTTTTTAAAAACAATCCTCACCCGAGGATATTTTTCTGTTTATCATCATATAGAGTGGGAGGGAGAGAGAGCGAGGAAGGGAGAGAAAGAGAGAGAGAAACATCAATGTGAGAGAGACACATCGACTGGATGCCTCCTGCCCCACCCAACCAGGGATGGGGATGAACAGCAACCAAGGTATGTGCCCTTGAACCCATGACTCATTGGTCTGTGGGCCAACGCTCTAACTACCAAGCCAAACCAGCCAGGGCCATAAATGCACTTTAATTGAAGACATAATGCTTGCTCTATTTTAGAAAGGCCATGACTGTTGCTCTCTGAGACCACTGGTTCACTGAGGAATTCATCCTGTGATGGGCCTTCAATAAGATCCAGGGTCAGAGATTTTCTTTTTTTTTCATCCTCACCTGAAGATATTTTTCCATTTATCTTCAGATAGAGTGGGAGGGAGGGAAAGAGAGGGAGAGAGAGAGAAACATTGATGTGAGAGGGACACATCAACTGGTTGCCTCCTGCACGACTCCGACTAGGGCCGGGGACCAACCCCAAGTGAGGTATGTGCCCTTGACCAGAATTGAACCTGTGACTCATTGGTCCACGGGCTGATGCTCTTCCCACTGAGCCAAATCGGCCAGGGCAGGGTCAGAGATTTTCAAATGGAAGGGGCCTGAGATGCCACCAGGCTTCCTCTGGCCTGATCATGAACCACCTCCAGAAAAAACCACCAAGGCCACCAGCTCTGTCTTGATTTTCAAGTTCAAAATCCATTCCATAGGGTCTGCTGAGTTGAAATAAATTTCTCCCTAAGCCCTGGGGTGGTTTCTGTTATCATAATCATTTTACACTGTTTCAGCAATTCCTAGAAGAAACTCCTCCACCTTTAATTACATCCACTGAAGTGTTTGCTGGGCACCTGCTTGGTGTCAGGTTCTCTAAGAGGACAGCAAGCCTTGTCTTCAAGGAACTGGAAATAGACCCAAAGGCAGGTCCTGAAGGCAGTGTTCAGCTATATCTGACTCAAGGCCTGGCCAGGCCTGTCGTCACGACAACTTCCCAGGTGTTAACTCTAACCTCACCTGGACCCTGTGCCCACCCAGCACCAGGCTCTACAACCTCTCATTTAATACAACAGTCACTGGGGAGGTGGCCTCACCCCAAATATGCATATGAAGAAACTGAGGCTCAGTGGGGTTTTTGTGCCATGCCAATTTGAAGGGGAGCTCAGATTCTAGCCCAAAGTGGGCTGATTCCAGAGCCTGTGTTCTTTACCACTGTCCCCCAGTCTCCCACATCCTCTCCTGAGACCTCCGATCTCCCCAGCCTCACCTCGTAGCCAGCGCAAGAGGAAGTAGTCATCAGTTTTGGGCAGGGTGGGCAGCAGGTCCTGGAGATTGTCCCTTAACTGAGGAGGAAATATGATTGTCAGAGGGACTCCCATGATCCCTGGGACCCCCGACCCTATCCCTGACTCTTCCCACCCTCAGTCAGGCAATCAGCCCTGCCCAGGGACCCTGCAGTAGGAGACGAAACAATTAGCAGCAGCTACCTGGATTATTTTGCCACCTGGGAATGGAGCACACCCACCCCTCCAGCCCACCATGGCTGAAAGAGTTATGTCCTCAAACTTTGCAGCAATCTCTGCCCCTCCCCAAGACCTTCACTCTATAAGTCTGAGGTGGAGCCCTGCCATTCCAATTTTTGCAAAGATCCCTGGTGTATTTGGTGCTGACCAACCAGAACATGTTAGGAACAGTATGCATCTTGAGGATTCAGATTTGGAAGCAAGTTACTTAACCTTTGTGAGTCTCAGTTTCCTCATCTGTGAAGTGGGAATAATAATAAACTTGTGCCAATCAAAGGGGTTTGTACAGGTAAAGCACAGCATCTTGCCCGGTTTACAGCAGGTACCACATAAATGCAATAAGGACTGCCCACAGCCCTGGACAGGGGGGTCTTTGTCGGAACAATCCCAGGCAAAGGTCAGCAGAGAAACTGAAAGAGAAGCCAGGGCACCATCCAGACACCGTCAGCTGGGGGAAAGGAGGGTGGCTGACCCCTGGGGGATGCCTTTTCTTACCGGTAGTTTGGGAAAGCCACTGGGAGTTTGGGTTTGGAACTGAGGCTCAAGTGTGAGATAGAGAGGAGACCCCAGTTCCATGGGGATGAAGGGAGCTGAAGACAGGCCTGGAGGCTGGGTGTGCAGGGGAACCTGTGACTGAGTTTGAGATTAGAAACAGATGCCAAAAGAGCCATATGAAGCTGTCTTGATGTCTATCCACAAAACCATCTTTAGCTTTATGAATGATGTGTAAAGTAAGAACGCACTCATGTATTGCTCCCATGACTAAAAATGAATAACCAGCTTAAACATCTCCATTGTTAACACAGCAACAGCATCTGCTATTATAATCCCCAGTTGGAACAGGCACCTGGAATGGAGCTTCTTGCACACTGAACAGCTGTTGTCTCTGGGCTCCCAAGGACGTTTCTTTGGGAGTGGGGCAATACTACCTGAGAAACAATAACTCCGCACCCTTCAACCCCTGCAGATGACCAGATTTGCTCCTTTGAGCCTCACAGATGTGCCCTGAGGCAGGAGGAGCAAAGGTCACATTCCTCCTTTGCAGATGAGGAAACTGAGACTGGGGCGGGGGGGGGGGGGGGGGGGGGGGCGCGCGGGTGTCTTCCCCAGGGACAGATTAAGAAAATTGCAAGGTCAGGAGGAGTTTGCATCTTCCAACCTCAAGGTCACTCCACCCTTGGAACTCATGTCAAGTAAAAGAGAAAGCCACTAAGCAGGTGCTGGGAAGGGTCTGGAGGAACTTGGAGAAAAAACTAACAATGATGCCATGTGGAGAAAGTAGCATCTGGCGGTGGGATCACATGTAGCCTAAACTAGGTTTAGGAAAAAGCTAGAAGGAAATGTCCCTAGCGTTGTTGTCTAGAACTCTGTGACCGCTCACTTCTCTCCTTTTTTCTATTTTTGTCTTTTTCACTAATTAAAAAAAAACCCATCCATTTCTTTTAAATAATGGTAAAAATAAGAATAAACTCTTTTTACATTGTTTAAAGTTTTTTGGTCCACAGGCATCGCCATCATAATTCACCCCCAAAGGCCAGGTGTCCAGTCCCTCCTACAAGCCTGTATCTGGGCTTCTCTGAGGCCATTGCCAGTGGGGGAGGGAGAGGGTTACCCAGGGTACGCTCTTTCTTTCTCTTGAGAACCATTCCTTCATTAGGAACCCTCTGCTTTTGGAATCTCTTCCTTTACCTGAGAATTCACACAGGGAATCCATCATTCACTTGGGCCAATCTCTCCTTCACTAGGAATTCACGAGAGGTCTGCCTCCTTCACCAGAGTCCTTATTCCTCTCTGGAGAACCCTCAGGTCTTCCCGAGGATAGGGGCCTCAACAGGAATCCTTCACAAGTCTGAAGCTGTCCTTTTTCACAGGCCCAAAGTGGGCCAGGACTGTGCCGTATCCCCTTCCCCGACCCGGAGTCACAGTTTCCAGCCCCTGGCCATCTGCCAACTGCATTAATGCTGTGGCACCTGAGACTTGGATATGCTCCCCCTTCCCAGGGCCATGACACTCCCAGGTGTAGCCTAGGAGACTGTCTTGAAATTACCAAAAAGTCTTCTATTACTCTTTAACGAAAACATTGACAGTAGGGGGGAAACCCAGGCCCCTAGAAGTCAGAAAGCCAAAGGGAAGCCAAACAAATGTTGCAATCTGAACAGATCTGTTTGTCCTAGACTGCCCTGAAGCGGGATGGCAACACCCTCCTCTCCTCCCCACCCTCCAATCAGGGAACAAGAGCCAGGGCTCTATGGCCAGCAGCCCGCGGGAATGGAAAGCTGGATTGGGCCCCAGCGTCACCCAGAGAAGGACTCCCGTCCTGTGTTCTGTACACAGCTGCCTGAGCAAACGGGCGCCCGCGGCTGGACAGAGACGCTCTCCAGAGTCCCCTTTCTCCTCGGTGCAGTAGGGGCTCCAGCCCGGTGAGCAGTGTCAGGCTGCTCGGCCCTCCCCAAGTTTCCCGGCCCTGGCTCTTCCCGAAGACTCTCACCCTGGCCAGCGCCTCCTGCTGCTGGGGGCTCAAGTCCCCGACTCGGCCGCTCATGGTGCCTGTGGGTGCCTGGTTTTGCCGCTCAGGTTGCTCGCGGGCTCCTGGTTTTGCCCTGCTGGTCAGATGTTGGTCCCGCCCCTACGGGAGATCCGTGGTCTCGCCCCGCCCTGTCCCGCTGCAGGTTTCTCCTCCCCTCTGGGATTTTTGCCGCCGTCAGTCACCAAGACGCACCCTATCTGGGGCAAGGAGGTGACCCGCCCCCAAAGGGTCCCAGAGCAGACTTCAGTCGGGGCAGCCGGTGCCCTCCACCTCTAGGCCTCCTCATCCCAGGGGCTCCTACAGGTTCCCACGCGGCAGTGAAGGGGGAGGGCATAGAGGACACCTGGGCAGGTTTCAGGAAACACCGAGATCCCCTTTTAGCAAAACGGAGGAGCTTTCTATAAACTTGGTTCAACCTTCTAGGTGGCCCCCAGGCCTTTCTTCCCAAGGGGCCCCGACCCCCTTCCCCTGACTTTGAACACTGGCTTTGCCTGTCAATGTTCACTAGCTGCTAGGAAAGCCCTTATATGCAAAATGGTTCCAGTCTTCAAGCCGGTCTGGAGGGTATAGATAAGATGACCCACCATGGATTTGCCTGGCACTGCACACCCAGTAAGTGTTGGCTGGTAGGAATCTTATTTCATACTCATTACTCCTGAGGCTGTCACCAGAGCAGAGAGCTGCAGGGGTAACAACCACAGTCCAAAGGCGGGAGAGGGGGGTGGCAGTGAACAAATGGAAGCCTGGGGTGGGGTGACGGAGGGTTTGGGAGGCCAAAGGGTGGTAGGCTGCCGACACAGGTGTCCAAGATGGCACCTGAGAGCCAGGTAAAGTTCTCTGGGGAAGGTGAGAAAATTCAAGTTTCATAGATAGAACTTTTCCAGAGAGAGGAGCAGGTGGGAAGCGAAGGTAAAGGAGACGGGAAATCAGGCTACCAAAACCTTTGCCCTTTGCTCTCCCCTGGTGTTAAACTAAGTGTTAGGCTTTCATTGACCCATCTGGTGCCCAAGAGCCACATGTGCAGTTGAGCTTTGGGAACGTGGCTTGTCACTAGTGAAAATGGAGATGCACTGTAAGTATAAAATACACACCAAATTTCGTAGACCTAGTATAAAAATTTTAAATATTTCATAAATTAATGTCTTATAGTGATAACATGTTGAAATGATAATATTTTTGGATATGTTGAGTTAATAAGATATATTGTTGAGTTAATTTTACCTGTTTCTTTTACTTTTTCTAATTTAGAAGTTTATACATTAATACACTTTTTTTTTTTTTTAGGGCAGTTTTAGATACACAGCAAAACTGAGCAGAAAGCATAAAGAATTTGTATATACTCCCCTGTCCCCACTCACACACACACAGCCTGCTCCACTATGGACATCTCTGTCTGAGTGGTACATTCGTTAGAATTGATGAACCTACATCCTTGTCACCCAAAGTCCATAGTTTTCATTAGGTTCACTCCTGGGGTTGTACATTCTATGGGTTTGGATGTATAATGAAATGTATTCACCATTGCAATATCACACAGAATAGTTTCACTACCCTAAAAACTTCTTGTTCTCTGCCTGTTCTTTTTACTTTTTAAAAATGTGGCTACCAGAAAATTTAAAATTATATGTGTGGCTCACATGTGTGGCTTGCATTATATTTCATTTGGACAGTGCTGTCCTCGAGGGATTTTAACAAGAGAGAGAGAAAGATAGAGAGAGAGAAGGGGGAAGGGAGGGAGGGAGGAAGAAAGGAAGGAAGTAATAATAATAAAATTGGTTAGAAGATAGTGAAATAGAGACATTCATAGATTGCTGGCAGGACTGGAAATTGGTTCAGCTTTTCAAGAAAACTACTTGACAATATGCATTAGGATCCTTCAATAGTTTACTACTTTGCCTAATCATCCTAACAAAAAATATTTTCAGTTTAAAGTTGTTTGTGCATTGTTAATAGAAAAATTGGAACTAATTTTTCAGAAAATCATGGTGCTTAATGTGGATGATAAAGAGTTTATCACAACATGGAAAAATACCACAAAATAATTTGGAAGAGATAGAATCACACAATATATACCATATGCTTTTGGAATGTAAAACAAAGTCCACTTATTAAAGGAGGGCCAGACAAGAAAAGAAATTTGTCCTCAACTTTCCCCAGTTTCTGAGGAGTAGGAAGCTATATTTTAAAAATACCACAGGTAACAAGTCACTTCCAAAGAGAAGTCTATTTAACTAGCACTTATAGGTATCTTCTCTGGGCCAGTCCCTGTTCTAAGGGGTTTGTAAATATTAGCTCAGGCAATGGGAGCCACACAGGTAATTTGATTATTTTATTAAATTTTATTTTTCAATTACAGTTTACATTCAATATTATTTTGTATTTGTTTCAGGTGTACAGCATAGTGGTTAGACAATCATACACTTTATAAAGTGTCCCTCCCCTATATTTCCAGTACCCACCTGGCCCCATACATAATTTTTACAACATTTTTTAAATTTTATTTTTACTTTTATTCTTTATTGATTTTAGAGAGAGAGGAAGGGAGAGGGAGAGAGAGATAGAAACATTGATGAGAGAGAACATCATTGGCCACCTCCTGCATGTCCCCCACTGGGGACTGGCCCACAACCTGGGCATATGCCCTGACCGGGAATCGAACGGGTGACCTCCCTGTGCATGGGTTGATGCTCAACCACTAAGCCACACCAGCGGGGCTACAACATTCTTGACTATATTTCCTATAGTCTACTCTATTTACATTCCCATAACTATTTTGCAACTGCTAATTTGTACTTCTTAATCCCTTCCCTTTCACAACCAATCCCCCCACCCCCACCCCTGTCAACTATCAGTCTGTTCTCTGTATCTGTGAGTATGTTTCATTTTTTATTGTTGTTGTTCACACATTTTCACACAGGCAACTTGAAATTCTTTGGCATCTACATAAAAAAAATTTTTTTTATATCCTCACTCAAGGATATTTTCCCATTGATTTTCAAATAGAGTGGGAAGGAGGGAGAGAGGGAGGGAAGGAAAGAGAGAGAGACACATTGATTAGTTGCCTCTTGCACAACCCGCACCAGGGCTGGGGATCAAACCATAAATGAGGTACGTACCCTTGACTGGAATTGAACCTGAGACTCTTTGGTCTGCAGGCCGATGCTCTAACCACTGAAAGAAACCTGCCAGGGCAAAAATTTTAATTATAATAATATACTTTATTTAACATAACTTATCCAAAATATTATCATTTCAACATGTAATCAATATGACTAACAAATGATTAATGATTAATAATGAGATAGCTTGCCTTTTTTTTTGCATCAAGTCTTTGAACTCCAGTGTACATTTAACAGAATAGTGCATTTCAGTTCTCATTAGCCACATTTCAAATGCTCAAATAGCCACATGTGGTGTTAGGGGTTGAACTGTATCCCCCACCAAAAATTCATACGTTGACGTCCTAATCCCCAGTACCTAAGAATGTGACCTTACTTGAAAACAGGGTCATTGCAGATGAAATTAGTGAAGGTGAGGTCATAGTGGAGTAAGGTGAGCCCCTAATCCAATATGACTGGTGCCCTTATGAAAAGGGGACATTTGGACACAGACATGCACACAGGGAGAATGCCATGTGAAGATGAAGGCAAAGATTGGGGTGATGCTTCCACAGCCAAGGAACACCAAAGACTGCCAGCAAACCATCAGAAGCTAGGGGAGAGGCATGAACATATTCTTCCTCACAGCCTTTGGAAGGAACCAATCCTGTTGACACCTGGATCTTGGACTTCTAGCCTCCCGAACTGTCAGAGAATACATTTTATTGTTGAAGCCACTCAGTCTCAGGCTTATTGGACAGTGCAGTGTTAGCTCATTTAATCTTCCAGACATGTTCTCAGGTAAGCACTATTATTATCCTTGTTTCTGGACCAGGAAACTGAAAATAAGGAGCCTCCTGAGGTTTCAGTCAACAAGCAGCAAAGACAGGACTAGGACCCAGGCAGGCTGATGCAGGGCTAGGTGCTCACGATGCCATGTCCTTCTGTCTGCTCAGCTCCATGGTTCCAGGTCACCCTCAAGTCCCTGTCTTTCCAACACAGCTATTGCTGGGCATGGAGGACTTTTGCTCCAACCATCTGGGTGCCAGTGGTTTGGGAAATAGATGACTCCCCTATCCTCCCACCTTCTAAAAGATGCCTCATTCCCTCGATGCCTTATGGCTCGTGGGCTGAAAAGTTGAACTGCAATGATGGTGTTGTCATGGTATGTAACACTAATTCCACACCTCCTGCCTACTTACTGCACTACCTCTCCCTCCCACCTTCCACATGTTCTGAAAATTACCGGCGTCTCTCCATGGCCACAGGTGCCCTGCTTGCGGTTCTAATTCAAGCCTGTAACCTGTCAATTGAAGGAAACTCTGTTGGGTGAATGGCATCACCATTTTTAGGGTGCAATCAGGCTTTGCAGGAGTCCCTGCCTGCTCTGCCCCACATCATGGCAAAATCGGTCCCACCCTGTGGACATCTAGCTGGACAGATGCCACTGGATGCTCCTCCAAATATGTAGGAGTGGGCTTGGGTTACCCTGGGGGTAAGAATAGGGAGGGAGTGCCTGCCTGACACAGATGTCCAGGGCAAGGGTGACCTTATGCCTGGTCTTCCTAGGGTGGAGATTACACTCTAAGGTAACTGTGGGAGGATTTCCTTGGCTCTCTCACCAACTCAGGGCAACCCTAGGGGAAAACGGGGCCTGGTATGGCAACATCCGCCCATACTCTTTGCTCCCACAAGGACCTGAGAGAGAAAGGGATAGGCAAGGGGAGCCTCACCCACTACTCCCAAAGACCTGACACACAAGGGGAGAAGGTGGGTTAAGGTTCTGGGGCCACAACTGGATTTCTTTCCCTACAAAAATCCAGGAGGCCTCTGGCCTTCCCAAGCCATAGAACATCAGGTGGGCAATGTATGGAGCTCTCTCTTTCTCTTTGCTGCTCCCAATCTATTCACAGGGCCTTTGCACAT